TCTCTCTCTCTCTCTTTCAAAACTTTTTGGCTCAGGGTTTCAGGCTTCTCAAGTCCGATGCGTACTGTAGCCCTGAGATCGCTCCAGCATCAAGCGCTTGATAGGTTTGAGGCTGCAGGGCTGAAAGCCTGCTGCGGCGTTGCTGGTCTTCGAGAAAGCATTGTGCGCTTGGGCTGCAGCCTTCGCTTGTGGAACGTCTTGAAGGCGCTAGGAGAGCAGGTTCTGGGGATTAATATAGGGACCTTAATAATTAGAATAAGGTTTTGGGGCCCATTATACTATAGTTATAAATAAGGACCCCCCAAAATAGTATAGGTAATTACTAAGGCCCCTACATTAAATAGGGGTTCAGGCTTCGCTTGCATGCACACACACACAACCATGCAACATTCTACTGGGAAGGTACCTCGTCGTAAAACCTCAGGCTGCAGAACAAACACCACATGAAAATCAGTCGCACCCGATTCAGAATCAAACGACTAAACCATAGCCTGCTTTCCGAACAGTCCCTTGAAGTGCCAGCCAAGTGACAGAGGCGTTTCGTAGACAAGCACTGCTACACCAAAGGTAGCGGCCAAGGTGAAGAGCAACGCAAACGCTAGCCCTTAGTATTTCGGTGAAGTTGTCTCATGCTGGATTTGGGTTGTGGGATGTATGCTAAACTGATCCCCTGGCTACTCTTCAAAGGCACTTGCCCCACGTACTCATTTGCAGGACGGCAAGCACCAGAGTACGAATGGCTGGAACAATGCAAACAAACTCGAATAACCACAACCAAACATCTGCATCGCCGAGATGATGCCCACATCCTAAACCCTCCGTACCCACCTCAGACCCCACGCCTTCAAATCTTAAGAATGAGCCCTCGGGGAGCGTAAACCGAGGCCGAGCTTCAGATGTTAAGTCTCAGTTGCCCTAGCCCAAACCTCAAAACAGGCCTCGGACTCTACCGGGTGGTTACTAGGACCCGTGGTTTGTGGGTCGTCATTGTCAGAGGAGTGTGGGGGGGGAAAAGCCTCTGCATGATGTTCAATCGTGGCATCTGGGATTGATTCTGAACCCCTAAAGCCTAAAGCCCTTGCTACACAGGCTTGATTGGAGCTCCCCCAGCCAAGTCCCCTCGCAGCACATCGCACTTTAAAGCTTAAACCCTAAACTCCTAAAGCCTGAACTTTCGGCGTTCGAGCTTGGGGCTTCGCAGCTGGAGCTTGGCGTATATTATGGTGCACTTATAATATGAGAAGGAGCAGACAGGGCTGCTGCAAAAGTCGGTGTGTGTGTGTGTGAGATAAGAGACACCTCTCAGAACCACACGCTGCAAGCAACAATAACAACAGCAATAGTGGTAACTAACCAGACATCTGACTATAGCTTGAACCCGCAATTTGCGGATGGGGCGCCCCTGGCCCGGACCGTGGCCCTTCACAGCCCAAGCAGCTAACCCGATGGTTCGTTTCTTTTCCAAAGCTTTCCGTCCTGATGTGTTGAACTCAACCCGGTTTCTTCTTCTTTGGGAAGGCACCGTTTCCTCTGAACCCGGTTTAAGTTTAGGGTTGGGGGGTAAACCAAAAATACCCCAAAACCCACTCGGCGCCGATAAGCCCATAGCCTACAGCAAGCTCTACACCCTTTTGGCAGGTACCAATTTCCAAAGAAGCACATTGGATGCAGGAATGCAACACCAAGGCGCTCAATGGAAGCACGACACTCCGAAAGATGGCAAGCACCACCAGTGTAATCAGCAGCACGGAGACCAGGAGGTAGGTGGGGACTGACTGCATGACCGTGTCCTGTATTTACGCAGTTTGTGGGTCTTAGGGTGCAACATTGAAGGCAATAAAAAGCATTTTAGCTTCTGCTGTGCTCAGAATGTCGATGAGAGGTGAACAATGTGGGCTCGGACTGTCCAGATACCAAACCCTAAACTCTAAACCCTAAAGCAAACCTTCTGACTACACGAGCTGTGTGCTGGAGCGAGGTCCCCTTGCCAAGGCAAGGTTACTCCGGGTCAGGGTTTAGGGTGTTGGGTTCAGGGTTGAGGGTTGAGGGTTTAGGGGCACAAGGCCAATGTACCATCCTCAAACCCGGGAAGGCCGTGACTTGTCAAGCGATTTGGTTGGCATGTTTCGGTTTGGAGATATGGAAAAGGTGCTTCTGGAGGGATAAAGAGAAAAACCTTCGATCCTGGCGGGTAGGCGGGGAATTAGCGTTCACGGTGTCACCCAAGAGTCCTCAGCTTAGACACCCTTCTCGCCCTTCTTGGGGGGCATGCCACGAGGATGCTTACCTTCCAAAACCAGAGTTCGAAGACAGCCCGAACACCCCTACACCTTAAACCCTCAAGCCTGCTCCAAAACGTCAAGTCCTTGTTGAGAAATGTTGGGCTTCTGCATCCTAAACTGCAAACCCGAAAAGACCCATGAATCGGAAACTTTGTTGTGCCGGCAGACTCTTAAGCCGTGAAGCGTGCGCTTGCACATAATGTATGCTCTATACAATATGTTCTATAAGCTGTCAGCAAAATACCATATCTTCTATAACGTATATGCACATGCAAATCATATAGTAGAAGCCAGAAAGTTGGAGCATGATTATCCTCCATGCCCTTAAGGGAAAGTACAAAAGTCTTTAGCACTAATCGTACTAAACCCATCTTCCAACTTTCTGGCTTCTACTAGATCTGAAGCCCAAGAGTGACGCCCCGGAGTGTTCGGGATTTACGGTTTGCAGCCTCAGCTCCTGCGCCTTGAAGTTTCCTAAACCTTATACCCCGAACTCTTATTGAGGAGCTCCCCAAGGAAACCTTAAAGGAGCTCCTCGGAACGAGGTCTCTCTGAGGTGCCTCCTTACGAGCCAGATCTACAGACATGTCAACCTCTCCTGCTCTGAAGGTGAGAGCTCAAGGAGAAAATCCAAGTGCAGTGACTAAACAAACAAGTATCTAAATCCTTTTTGTAAATGGGCTCCATGAGAAACTAAACCCCGATCCCTGACCTGAGCGTCCACCACCAAGGCGGCCCCTCCACCCAGCGAAGCAGTGAAGGAGGGATGCTGGCCTCTCAGGTATAAAAGCATAGATGCATTTTACAAGTTTGCTTGCTTCAAGCTCCGTAAGAAGCCCTAGATGACTCAACGGGTTTAGGACAACCCCGCTCTTCCACTCAACTCGCCTCTCACTTACCCTCTCGCCCGACTGGCCACACTCTGCCCCACTTGCAGCTCTGTACCCTGCGGTAAGATCTTTAAATCTGCCCAGGCAGAGCACGAGGGGCGGGGGTGAAACACTGAATGTTACACATCCAGGTGCCTGTCTGTTTCGCGTATCACTTGCATGTATCCATGCCTGTTGCTCAAGGTTCTAGCAGAGTACGATCTACAGCTGTGCGCTTGTAGCAAAAGAGACTCCTGTGAGCCTGTGTTCCTGTACGCCTCAGCGAGGGGATACACACCCAGGTTACATCTCGGGGGGGGGCGGGCAGCCCCCCCCCCCTAGTAGACTTACAGCTACAACAGTGT